AGGATAGTAATGAATCCATCTATGGAACATGGTGTAACAATCCTCCCGATTGTACTCTGCTGGAGAATGACCAGATCCCTACACAGCAAGCCAAAAAGAATTGGGAAGAGTTTAACATCATGTTTTCATGGATCAACAAAGCAAGAAATGAATTTAGATGAGAAACTCTCTTGCCTTAAGAGTTGCATAGGTCAAGCGATATCCACTATTTGTAAAAATCTAGGTAAAAACATCATATTGTTAGTTCTAAATTATTGTTTAATTTTTTGTGCAAGATAAGACTACACTTGGAGTTTTATTTCTACATAATTCTTAAATAGTAAATTTATTTGACTAATTTATTATTAAAAATAGTAAGCCAAATAGTTAATATTTTATTTTTTAAATGGTAGAAGTTAAATTATAAATTAATATTTTAAAATATCATAATTAATTTTTTAAAAAACATAAATTAATCAAATTAAATACATTAATTGTGATTTTATTTATTAATGTTGTATTGTAGAGATATATTTTTTATTTTTTTTATAATCTAAAAATAAAAAATATCAATTAAAATTAATAAATACAACAAGCATGTAAGAAGCTAATTAAAATTAATTAAAAATTTTATATTTTTAGATAAAATATCAATAAAATACACTTATAAAAGGTGCTAACTTATATTATTTACACGGCCTTAACAAAAATATCTTATGATAATTACGGCAGCCAACCAATAAGCTGCGAGGAATAGTGTATCCTGAGCCAATGGAATTTCAAAGGCTGGTTATGGATATCTTTATTTCTTCAAGAGTCAATAATGGCCGCCAGGGCAGAAGTCAATGTTACTAGCGGAAGACATAAGTTAAATGAACTACATTGAAGGCACGTGGCATACCGTCAACCCTATTACCCTAACAGCTGTTTCTTTAATCCTTTATCTGTGTAACCACGCTAACATAACCCTATCTATTTCTTCAAGTGACACGGTATTCGGACTTAAGAATGGTCAAGTTATGGTTATTAGGAAAATTGTTAAGATTATTAATGATTTTTTATTTTTTATTTTGTAAAATTATTTTTTTACTTATTCAAGAAAAGATAAAAATATGAGAGCATAATTAAATAATAGAGGTAAGAAAAATTTAACATAAAAATAAAATATTAATGACCTTAATAATTTTTTTAGTAGCCATAACCGAATTTCATAATCAATTCTTTTGTTCCTTCTCCTATGGTGAGAATGATGATTTGTTCTGAACTTAAAAGAGAATGTATTTAGATCACAGGGACAACAAATTATTTAGTGAGTTTAGTTCAAATTTAGATGATTTCAAATTGGAGCATGAAAATAATTTCCCTCAAAGGACATTCATGTCTGAAATCTCAATCAACTATTCCACTAAGAAAATTCATTGAATTTGAATCTAAATCCAAATCTAATAATGCATGATAGCATATTCAGAACTCTTTGAATTAAACCCAAGCAAAAGACGAGAAAATGGCCCTTTTATATTGATAATAAGCTAATGTTTTTGCATTATTCCAATACAAGCTGAAGAGTTGAGGCAACTCAGTTTGCAAATACACCACCAAAGCAACAAAGAAAGGTATGCTGGGTAAAGAAATAGAGGACTAGAGGACTAGACATCAGACCAACAACAATTTCAAAGGTAATTTCATGGCTTCCACAGGATAGTGGTTTCTGCAATCATGGAAGTCACCACATAAGGATCCATGTTGGACGCAGGCCTCCTGTCCTCAAAGTACCCTTTCCCAGCCTTCTCTGTGTCTCGTCCAACACGAATGGATGCTCCGCGGTTTGCAACACCCTGTTTCCACATTGACGATACCAATCAACATCAATTGTTTAGCTAGAATTCCAAATTAATAACAACATGAAGCATGCTTCTCTTTTGTATTTTACCCATTTAAAAGTGTGGATGTTAGCAGTTTCATGTCGCCCAGTGAGACGGCGCTCATTGCCTTCTCCGTATGCAGCAATGTGTTCCTTGTGCCTCAGCCCCAGCTTTTCAATTGCTTTCTTGATGACCTCATACCCCCCTTCATTCCTCATGGAATTGGTACTAAACAAGTTAAAGTAAAACACCATGAAGCATGACACGTTGGTAGTCAGGAAATTAAAATTTTTCTAAGTCAATCCAATTTGTACCTGTAATTTGTGTGAGCGCCGGCTCCATTCCAATCACCCTGGTAAGACGAAGGATAAGCCATTTTTCAAAATATAATAACTGAAGCCTAACATGATTTTCCTGTCCCTATCTTTAATCTGATCGGTACAAACAAGGCTTGGAACCGAAATGGAGCACGCAAAAGGTAATGAGATGAGACAAAAGTTTCTAACCACAATTGGCTTGGGATCAAAGGAGAGCACAACTCCAGCAATCTCTGTAATCCTCTGTCAAGAAAGGAGTAAAAGTATTTAGCAGAGAGTTAGCACTCGAAAATATAATTTCCATAGCTTCTTAATTAGGGTATATTCGATTAGATTACCTCAAGAATGTAACGAGCAACCCACAACTCATCCCCAGCAGAGATGCCAACTGAAGGACCAACTTGAAACTCCCACTATAGAACATAAAGAATATCAAAACACAATAGTATAGATAAGTGAGTAGATCGATCCAGCATGGCATTGATAACAAACTTTAAAGAAGCACACTCAATTACCTGGCCTGGCATCACTTCTCCATTGATTCCACTGATATTGATGCCTGCATATAAACAAGCTTTGTAATGCGAATCAACAACGTCGCG